GTGGGGCCTCATCAAACTGACAAACTTCTGCAAAGCCAAAGAAACCATGAAGAGAGCAGGGAGACAGTCCATGGACTGGGAAAAAATATTTGCCAACTGTATATCTGACAAAGGCCTAACATCTAGGATCAACAAAGAACTCAAATGTGCCCAAAAGAAAAAAAAACAAACAGCCCCGTTACAAAGTGGGAAAAAGGTATGAATAGATACTTCTCAAAAGAAGACATACGAGCAGCCAACAGATACATGAAAAAATGATCAGCTTTGCTAGTCATCAAAGAAATGCAAATTAAAACCACTCTGAGGTACCACCTAACTCCAGTCAGGATGACCATCATCAATAACTCAAAAAACAACAGATGTTGGAGAGGATGTGGGGAAAAGGGAACACTTCTTTTTTTTTCTTTTTGAGTTGGAGTCTCACTCTGTCGCCCAGACTGGAGTGCAGTGGCTGCTCCTGGCCACCAAAGCCTCGACCTGCTGGGCTCCAGCAATCCTTCCACCTCAGCCTTCCAAGTAGCCAGAATTACAGGTGCGCGCTACCACACCCAGCTGATTTTTTTATTTATTGTAGAGATGAGGTCTCGCTGCCCAGGCGGGTCTTGAACCCATGGGCTCAGGCAATCCACTCACCTCAGCCTCCCAAAGGCGTGGGATTACAGGCTGAGCCACCGAGCCTGGCTCAAAAGGGAACACTTCTACACTTTTGGTGGGAGTGTAAACTAGTATAACCTCTGTGGAAAACAATTTGGCGATTCCTAAAAGATCTAAAAAGCAACCTTCCATATGACCCCACAATTTCCCTACTGGGAATATACCTGGAGGAACTCAAATCACTTTATGAAAAAGATACCTGCACACACAGGTTTACTGCAGCATTATTCACAATAGCAAAAACATGGAACCAACCATGCTACCCATTGAAAGAGGACTGAATACAACAAAATGTGAAACAGATACACTATGGGATATTACAGAGCCATAAAAAAGGACAAAATTACAAACTTCACAGCAACTTGGATGGACTTAAAGTCTATAATACTGAGTGATCTATCACAGAAACAAAGAACTGATTACCACATGTTCTCACTTATAAGAGGACCTTAAACAATGATCATAATATTATAAGAAAGAGATTGGCAGTAGTGGGAAACTGCTATAGGTGTACACCACCATCCCTGAGAGACAAGGTCTTGCTATGTTGCTCAGGCTGGTCTTGAACTGCTGGGCTCAAGCAACTCTCCTGCCTTGTCCTCCTAAAGTGCTGGAATTACAGGCGTGAGCCACAGTGCCTGGACTTTAGTTATATTTTTTAATGATTTTAAATTCCAAGCTTATAGAAGAGTTGCATGAATAGAACAAAAAATTCCCATATACTCTACCCAGAGACCCCCACCAAAGTTTCAGCAAGTGCTCCCTCAGGCACTTGCAGACTAAGGACCGCATTGTGCAGCCACTTCTCAGGTCTCCCTGGGTTGCCTCAGCCTGCCTTTGCCTTCCATGGCATGTGCCTCTTTGAAGATTGCAGTGTAATCATTTTGCATCGTATCCCTCAGCCTGGATGTGCACGATGCTTCCTCAAGGCACAACCCAGGCTGTCACTTTTTGCAGGAATGTCCCAGAAGGGGCACTGTATTCTCATTGCCTCCTTCTGGGAGGTGACACACATGCCAATTAATGTCATTAGGGTGACATTAATTTTGATTACTAAATCAAGATGGTGTCAGCCATGTTCTACTCCCATGAATTCCTCTTCCCCCCTTTGTAATAAAAAAGAATTTTTTTGAGTCGGAGTCTCACTCTGTCGCCCAGCCTGGAGTGCAGTGGCACACTCACAGCCACTGCAGCCTCGACCTGCTGGACTCCGGCGATCCTTCCACCTCAGCCTTCCAAGGAGCTAGTACTACAGGCACACACCACCATGCTTGGCTAATTTTTTTTTTATTGTAGAGATGAGGTCTCACCAAGTGGACCAGGCTGGTCTCGAACCCGTGGACTCAGGCAATCCTCTCACCTCGGTCTCCCAAAGTCCTGGGATTACACCGTGCCCAACCATAAATAATTATTTGATGTGGAGACTTTTAAGGCTGTTTGAGCATTTCATTTCTCATCTGACTTGCACCTCCATGGCTTAGCATCTGTGGATTTTTCCTGCCAGCATCAAATATTTCTCTGATGATTCCCAAATGGCAATTTTCTAATTCCAGAATTTCTACTATATCAATTAGTTGGCATTCTAATGTAAGGAAGAACTTTCTTATCTCCCCATATAGCTGCTAATCTGTTTACTACTACTAACTGCACTCATTGATTCTTATTTTAGTCAATGGATTATAGCGCATTACTAGTATTACTTACTTCGATACACAAATTGTTCCAGATTTGACCAGGGAGAGTCCCTTTCGATGGACTTTCTGTCCTTTTGACACGTCCCTATCATTCTGAGCATCACCTGAGCTATTCCTTACAACACAATATTCCAGGTTTAGCTTGAATTGTTCTGCCCCAGTTCAACAACCAGCCACTTTTCCAAGTAGCCCATGCATCTTTCAGTGGAAACGCGTGTTTAGAAACCAAGATCCAAGTGCCACGTGTGCTCATTACTACTGGAGGTGTTGCTGTTTCCGGGTTCTCCTAGTGTACAGAGCTAGCAATTAAGCATACGTAGAGGCATACAGAGGAGAGCACACACAAGAACCTCTCACTGTATCTATATTGACTTCTCTCTCTCTCTCTCTACAAAATCTGTACTATCTCACTTGCAATCCAACACCACAGGTTTATGCAAACTTTCCTTCTTTACATATCACCACTTCTATTTGTCAGTGAGGAACCTGATTCACATTATCCTCGAAATGTATTTGCACGTTTGCTCATACCCTGTATGTAGCTAAGCTTGCGACATCACAGGGCTACCCTCCTCACGCTATGACTGCCCCACTCCGGTCTTCCTCATCACTGCTGAACTGAATTAGGATGGCAGAAAGGGGAAAGGAGGGAGAGAGAATAAAAGGGAAAGAGAGAGGGATGGAGGAAAGAAGAAGTGCACTGTCTCCTAATTAAATAAATGCACAGGTTTTAAATGTTAATTTGATGAATTTTGAAAGCTGCATATACCCAGGTAACAACTGCCTAAAATAAAATATAAAATAAAGATTTCCACCCCTGTAAATTAAAGGAGTGTATCCATCAACAAACGTCATTGAAGACCCCTTTCCCCATCACTGCTCCTCTCACGGACCCCAGATCTTATAGTATAGAACAACTCGGCCTGTCTTAACTTCATTAGTTCGTCAATCAAGTAGAACCTGGGATTGATCCAACCAACAAGAATCTTCTTCCTTGGAAGGATGAAAGGGGAAGAACCACCGTCCTTTTAACATTTACATTTTATTTTACATTTGCATTACTTACATTCTTTTTCTCATCATGAGACGCAGTGTTCATTAGGGGCATAGTTTAGGAATCACTGCCTCGGTTGGGCTCAGGGGCTCAGTCTGTGATCCCAGCACTTTGAGAGGCCGATTTGCCTGAGCCTGTCGGTTTGAGACTCACCCTGGCAACTCGGCAAGACCTCGTCTCTCCAATAAATCAAAAAAATTAGCCAGGCGTGGTGGCGCACACCTGTAGTTCCAGCTACTTGGAAGGCTGAGGCAGAAGGATTGCGGGAGCCCAGCAGGTCGAGGCTGTGGTGGCCGGGAGCATGCCACTGCACTCCAGTCTGGGCGACAGAGTGAGACTCCAACTCAAAAAAAAAAAAAAAGAAAAAAGAGTCACTACCTGGCATGGAGATTCTCAGTCTGATGTGTCTCAAGGAACTTGAAACCTGTGCATGTAAACCAAGACTACCCAAATGAGAACAAGCATATTTATTCAGAGCTTGTGATAGCAAGGGAGCCACCATCATCACTCGTGTTTGGCAGAGACCGAAAGTCAGACGCAGGGGAGAGCAAACCTTACGAGAGAAAGACAGAAGGCACCAAGTTATGGGGAAGTTGCAGGGAGCCTACTGGAAGTGGGGCATCGTGCGATTGGTTGGAGAAACATGTCTGGATTTTTCTGGTTGGTCTTAAGTTGGGCCAATTGCTCCAGAGGCTGTGGTTTGGCTCCTAGACTGGTTGCCATGGACTCATGGGTCACAGTTCCATTTCCGTACTGGTCATCGTCCATTTGTGTTCAGTCTCTTATAGCAGATGGTGTGTAAGAGAACTGCATTATGAAGTGTAAGGAAGGTCTCCTCTGAACCCTCCCAGACAGCAGCATCAGTGTCGGCCCTTTCTCACCTCCTGCTCGACTTTTCTTCTTCAAGTCCCAACTTCCTTTTTTCCGATGTCTGGAACAGAATAGAAATTTGTCTAGACAGACCTGAGGCATACTGAGAACGGGTGGCAGAACGTTGTGTTGATTCCACACGAGTGAAGTCAGAGAATTCAAGGAGAGCGCTAAAGTCCTAACTGGAGCTACCAGGAGGGTCTTGTTGCTAACTGGAGAGACAAGGGGAATTGAGAAGAAATAGCTGTTTTGTGAGAGAAAGTGTTGAGCTCAGTTTTAGGGCATTAAAGTTGTAGGCTTCTCCTTGAAGGTATTCCAGCAATTCATTCATCTGGAAACTAGACAGCATTTCAGAGATGTGGGGAGTGAGACACTGGGGACAGATGACTGTCCCACGTTTGCCCAGGCTGTGGGTAGGGCAGGGGCTTCCACTTTCTGGTGCTCCATCTACAACACACACAAGATAGAAGACGGAAAGCAAGAGGTTCCAGCAATCCAGGAGTCACCAGGGTTCTGCCCGAAGCAGCAGTGAGCTGTTCTGTGCCTTTAACAAAGATACCACGAAGACTGAAATCGTCTCCCAGATTTCACAACAGGCCCACCAAAGGGAAGAGGAATGATTAAAGAATGTAGGCCTCAGAGTTCCTCTCGAACCATGACCTTGCATCTTCTGTTTACAGAGGTAGAAGTACACCCCCAGGAAGGTTAATGTATAAGCACTTTGATGCTTGCATCTCTCTTTTTAGTAGCGGAAACCACTCTGGTAGTGTCAGTGTGAGTCACCCACAATGATTTCTCCAGTGCTTGTCTTGTTCTCGGGTTTTCTCTGCCATGTTGCTATTGCAGGACGGAGTAAGTACTTTTTGCTTTTGAGAAAGTAATTAATATATCCTTCCCCCTCATATATGCCCAGGATCGGTAATGATGACCTAAAATTATCTTTAGAGTGGATGCTAGAGAGACTGGATAGATACCTCTTCCTTATTATTGACATACTAAAAGTTCCTTCATAATTGACCTAGCCAATTTAAGCCTCAGTGTACTGACCTGTGAAATGGGGGCAAATCTTTCAAATAGTTATTGAGAAGATTAGGTAAGATACTGTGTATGAAGTATTTAGTATGGAACTTAGTATATTTATTATTGGTAGCATTAAATACTTTTCATTTGCCTGCTAGTTAAACTTAAAAATGCAGATAGTGATTTCTGACCATCCTCTGCTTTGTGCTCCGTTTCAGCCTGTCCCAAGCCAGATGATTTGCCATTTTCCGTGGTTGTTCCATTAAAAGCATCCTATGACCCAGGGGAGCAGATCACATACTCCTGCAAGCCGGGCTACGTGTCCCGGGGAGGGATGAGGCGGTTCACCTGCCCACTCACGGGGATGTGGCCCATCAACACGCTGAAATGTACTCGTAAGTCAGCACCTTCTCTCCCGTTTGGATTCCGGGTGTTTTGGGGGGATAGCCTGCTTTCTGCTCAGAGTGCAGGAAGCCGGAGTGGCTGTAGGTCTGGGGGATTCTCTATGAGGGAAGAGAATGGGCCAGTCGGTGCTATTTGGAGAAGAGAAGATCATAGCCTGGAACCAGGGGGTTTAAGAAAGAGGCCTGGTGTGATAAAAGAAGAGGGAAACGCGACAGAATTTAAGAGAGGTGGGCATTCTCTGAATGTAAACTGGGCCGGGCATGGTGGCTCAGCCTGTAATCCCAGCACTTTGGGAGGCTGAGGCGAATGGATTGCCTGAGCCCGTGGGTTGGAGACCAGCCCGGGCAACTTGGCAAGACCTCGTCTCCACAATAAATCAAAAATTAGCTGGGTGTGGTAGTGTGCGCTTGTAGTTCTGGCGACTTGGAAGACTGAGGAAGAGGGATTGCCAGAGCCCAGCAGGTCGACACTGGGGTGGCCATGAGCATGCCACTGCACTCCAGCCTGGGCCATGGAGTGAGATTCCAACTAAAAAAAAAGTAAACTGATGCCAAAGAAACACTTGGAAAGACAGAATCTGGAGAAACATCACAGCTTAGACTTTGCCTCAAAATGAAAGCAGACAACAGTTACTGAAATGAATATGAGTTCCATCTAACTTATGTATATATATATATGATAATAAAATATAAATAAAGATATTAAATTAAATCAATAATGTCTTGCAAATTATGTCTTTCACTTTGACTTTGTTATAAGTTGTTGCTTTTATTTATTTCCCAGAACATAGTATTATGATATCCACCAGCATTATTTTTAATAGTCAGGTATTGAGCAACCAACCAGAATAAATTTCCAGCAATTTTTTTTTTTGAGCCTCACTCTGTCACCCAGACTGGAGTGCAGTTGTACAATCACGGATCACTGCAGCCTTGAGCTCCTGGGCTCAAGCAGTCCTCCTTCCTCAGGCTCCTGAGTCGCTGAAACTATAGTCATGCCACCATGCCAGACTAATTCATTTTTATTTTTTGTGGAGACAAGTTCTCACTGTGTTGCCCAGACTGGATTCCTAGCAATTATATGTAGAAGTTAAGCAGTAAAACCAGGCAAATGAATCTTCTGAGCTCTGGTTATATGGCCTTTGTCAAATTTATGCATGTTCTTATAAGTTGATTTTACTATACTTTTTTATTTAAAAAGGCTAAACGTAATTTTTAAAGAAAAGCGATTATAATATCATTAGGGTAAGTTTTTCTTTAAGTCAGACATAATTATGAAATATTAACAATTTCATTTTTGGGGTTATCTCTCCTGTGTATATTTTTGCATTGTTGCAGAATATGTACAATATTGTATTTTTCTATTTTCTTTCTTTTTCTTTTTTTTGAGTCGAATTCTCACTCTGTCGCCCAGGTTGGAGTGCAGTAGCACACTCACGGCCATCGCAGCTTCAACTTGCTGGGCTCAGGCAATCCTTTCACCTCAGTCTTCCAAGTAGCTGGAACTACAGGCGCACACTACCATGCCCAGCTAATTTTTTATTTACTGTGGAGACGAGGTCTTGTCAAGTTGCCTGGGCTGGTCTCGAACCTGTGGGTTCGGGCAATCCACTTACTTCGGCCTCCCAAAGTGCTGGGATTACAGACTGAGCCAGTGAGCCTGACCGTATTTTTCTATTTTCATCAGCATAACATAAAACTTGACTGTATCTTCATAGTCTTAATAATTCATATTCTAGCCGGGCTCGGTGACTCAGCCTGTAATTCCGCGCCTTTGGGAGGCCGAGGTGAGTGGATCGCCTGAGCCCGCGGGTTCGAGACCCGACCTGGGCAGCGAGACCTCATCTCTACAGTAAATCAAAAAATCAGCTGGGTGTGGTAGCACATGCCTGTAGTTCCAGCTACATGGAAGGCGGAGGCGGAAGGATCACCGGAGCCCAGCAGGTCGAGGCTGCGGTGGCCGGGAGCGGCCACTGCACTCCAGTCTGGGCGACAGAGTGAGACTCCAATTCAAAAACAAAAAAACAGTAATGATATAATGAACACCTTGGTGTATATATCATTTGTCTTAATTTTGAATTTTTTTCTAGAATAGTTACTAGAATCAAAGGATGGAAGTGAGTTTATATATTTTCATCTTAATGAAAAATTCCATAAACAGAAATTTACCTTTTTAATCTTTAAATTACAGCCAGAGTGTGTCCTTTCGCTGGAATCTTAGAAAATGGAGCAGTACGCTATACAACTTTTGAATATCCAAACACGATCAGTTTTGCTTGCAACACCGGGTAAGGACTTCCATGCAACTAAGAAGCTCATGTCTGTGTACATTTCTGTGCCCTTAAGCTAACCCTCAAGACTTTTATCTTTTATTTTTAGCCTTTTAGTTGGACTTGCTGAATACAAATAAATCTTAGTCCTGCTTTTGAAATATACTACAGTGGTGGTGAGGGTGGGGTAAGGAGTAGCAAATATAACAACTAATGAAATGTGAAGTCACCACTGCATCTAATTGTTTTTGCTCCCAATTAATTACTTATTTGAGGTGGTACATTGAAATGATTGAACTGAATTATATGATGGGGACCCCCCAAAAACCCAGATTTGTCTTTTGGAGGGTGGGCACCTTGTAGTACAGGCGTCCCTTACTAGGTAGGTGTTCTAGAAACCCATCAGCATCAGTGTACCAGCTAGTGTTATTGTGATAGGCTGCATTCGGCTTAGTAAATTCTTTTTTTGGAGATTCTTTCAATGCAATTGCTCATTTCATAATGGGTGATTTATGAGTGCACCTGTCCATGCTGTGCTTGATGTTCAACAGGTTTTGACCCCCAATGGCATGGCCCTGTGCCCCATCCTTTCCATTTACTCAACCTCACCCCAAGCAACTTTTAAAAATGGTTTTCCTGGATGAAAAAAGTCCTCAAAGGAAAACGTTCTGCTGATGTGGAGGAGGTGAAACAAAAATGTAGAAGCACTAAAAGTCATCCAAATGGATGAGTTCAAAAACTGTTTTGAGCAGTGGAAAAAAGTGTCTCAATAGGTGTATTGCATCAAGTGGAGAATACTTTGAAGGTGACTGAAGTTGAAACATGTAAGAATCAATACAAGATTTTTAATACATTAATTCTGGGCTTTTCTGTGTGTCTGCCCTCATAATTCCTTATTATCTCTGGACCAAATCTTGGCATAGGACTAAAATACTGTAGGAATAATTGGGTTTTAGTTATGAGGCTAAAACTTGATCGACCAAGCCTCTAGCCTCTAGACGAGAATTCAGCGGGGACAGCTGGGAGTGTGAGGACCTAGAGCATGCCTCATTTAATCCTCACATCGTGTGGTACAGCATCCTCAGGAAGAATACACTTATGCTGGACACGTGTCTCTTCTGCCTTATGAGCACAGTGATCTTGTCAATAGCATGTTGGCTGCACATATACGGCAAGGTTTTACTGGGGATTTTTGTTTGTGATCGGAAATTAGGAAACACTATGTGCGAATCAGAAATGTAGTCCTTTCATCTGAAACACCAATTACTGGTGTGGTAACAAATTACCTCGAAAAAAATTGACTTCAAGGACAGAATGTTCCATCTTCATTGGAAACAGACTCCATTGTTTTTACACATTTCTGTCAGTAGGCGTGGAGAAAGTGAATAGCAGAGATACTCCATTTGATTCATTTTTGTCATCCTGAAAAAGAAATGGATTTTGCTTTATGTAAGAAGCAGTTAATTTGACCTACTGGGTGCAGATGAGAGATTTAGAGGCTTGGCTTCTACACTCACCAGCTATGGAACCCTCCAGTAATTCACCTGCAGCATTGGCTGGGAGACTCCATGAGACCTGCTTGATGCTAAGATCCTAAGGAAAACATTGTCAGATGGGAGATAAGTCAGTGGCATTAATATGAGGCAATGCTCACTGGAGAAGACATTTGAAATGCCAACGATGGATTATCTTATTGCTTGATAGATTAAGTATTCCTTTTGCAGGTTTTATCTGAATGGAACGAATTCTGCCAAATGTACCGAGGAAGGGAAATGGAGTCCGGAGCTTCCTGTCTGCACTCGTAAGTCTGTAGGTCCCATTACAGGGAGGGTGACCAGTTGATTTGCTCAGAACATTCCTGGTTTTAGCACCGAAATTCTCACATCTGGAAACTCCTCAGATCCAGCTTAATGATCTGGTTGGTGATCCTTATGGGGAACACGCATCCTGATATCCTGCTCTGAAAGATGCAACGACCGCTTTGGAATGACAGAAGGGAAGCATTTTACTGATGAACAAGTTTTTCATCCTGCATCTGATAGTAGTTGCTCCAACCAAGCCAGTAATGACAGGGTTCGTTGACTCCAATGTGCTCGTGGTGCTCTATCAGGGACTTGGATATATGTGGCATTGGTCTCTCATAGACCATCACCATTTGACTAGGAGAATTTTTTTTTTTTTTGAGTTGGAGTCTGTCGCCCAGACTGGAGTGCAGCAGCCGCTCCCGGCCACCGCAGCCTCAACCTGCTGGGCTCCGGCAATTCTTCCGCCTCAGCCTTCCAAGTAGCTGGAACTGCAGGCGTGCGCTACCACGCCCGGCTGATTTTTTGATTTATTGTAGAGATGGGGTCTCGCCAAGTTGCCCAGGCGGGTCTCGAACCCGCGGGCTCAGGCAATCCACTCACCTCAGCCTCCCAAAGGTGCAGGATTACAGGCTGAGCCATTGAGCCCGGCTTGACTAGGAGAATTTCTGCAGACAGTGAGATTAAACATCCTCCACTCTGGAATCTCATTCATTCATGCATTCATCTATCAGGTGCTCAGTAAACATGAACTGAAGATCTAGTATTGCTAGACCCTGTTCTCAGCAGTGAAGTTGCAAGGCCCAAGGAGACCAACTGCTTTGCCTTGAGGGAATAAGCCTAGTGATGCCTTCACAGTGCGCCAAGAGTCCATCAAAGGGCCCTGCCTCCTAGGAGTTGATCGTGATACCTCCCAAAGCACTGACAGTTTTTCAGGTGACCCTCAGCCAAGCAGTCGGAGTCATCTCTGGGTTTTGCTTATGTAGGGAGGGGCGTTCTTATGTTCCCTGACTTGTGATTTATACAAGTCCAATCTTTAACCAGAAGGCCCAGACATTACAATACTAGTTATGGTTTTTCAACATTTCGTCAAGTTCTGTACTTAGCAAAAGCAAGTGGAAAGTAAAGCCATTTCAAAAAAATGTTAAAGAAAAACGAACACCAAAAAAGTTGTTTTATTTTGTGTTGTGTTGAATTTTTGTGGAGATGAGGTCTCACCATGTTGGTTTGGACTCAAGCAATGCTCCTGCCTCAGCCTCCCAAAGTACTAAGATTATAGGCATGAACCAGCACACCCGACCCCTAAAAAAGTTTTTTAAGGATAAATTATAAACTTTTTTACTCCGCAGCAAGAATCACCATGATTCCCATAGTTTTCCTTTTAAGCAGGTTTATACCAGTTATGTAAGTTCACTTTTTTTTTTTTTTTTTTTAAGAGAGAGGTTCTTGCTCTCTGGAGTGGCATAATTATCGTTCACTGTAACCTTAAACTCCTGAGCCTAAGTGATCCTCACACTTCAACCTTCCAAGCAACTGAGATTGCAGGCTAACGCCACTATATCCTGCTAACTTTTAACTTTTTTTAGAGGTGGTGTCTCACTATGTTGCCCAGACCAGTCTTAAACTCCAGCCTTAAGTGATCTTTCTGTCTCAGCTTCCCAAAATGTTGAGATTACATGTGTCCAATTGTACATTCACTTTTTAAAAGTTGTAAGTGGAAGGCTTTAATTTAATTTAAATGAGTGTTTCCCATACTTTAATGTACATATGAATCATCTGGGCATCTTGTTAAAATGTGGATTGTGACTCACATATCTGTGTTGAGGTCTGAGCTTCTGTGTTTCCAACAAGCTCCTTGGCGATACCCATGATGCTGGTCCCTGGACCACATTTAAGCAGCCAGGGTCTGAGTAATACAAGTTAAATTGCATTTTGGTCTGTGGCATTTCTAGTATGTTAGCGTAGCTTTCCCTGAACTTGTTGGAGCTGTATATTTCACCAGACAGGACTACAGACCACACCACCTCTCTGGGTTCTTGAAGCCACTTGCATAAGCTCCATACATACAGAGTCCAAAAGCAGGAGGTGTCCAACAGGAACAAACCAACTGAACGAGTAACAGAACTCAGATTCATCAACACCTATGCACTGAGTTGCTGTTGCCAGTCATTATTTCAGGATGGTCCACCAGCAAAGTCCTCCACCAACTCTGCCTTTCAGAATCATCTTCCAAGGTAAGGTAGCATTGGTAGCATGGATTTTTTTCTTTCTTTTTTTGAGTTGGCATCTCACTCAGTGGCACGCTCACGGCCACTGCAGCCTCAGCCTGTTGGGCTCAGGCAACCCTTCAGCCTCAGCCTTCCAAGTAGCTGGAGCTACAGACACATGCCACTACACCTGGCTAGTTTTCTGTGATTTATTGTAGAGAGGAGGTCTCACCAAGTTGCCCAGGGGAGCACAGATTTTATGGAAACCTGATCATTGTGATGTTGTAAGTGGCCAGACAGGTTTACTTCATTTTTTTAGTTTTTTGACTGGTTTGGACATCAGATTTTAGGGTTGTGTTTTCTTATTTGTCATCCACAATTTCTTTTTATCCTTACATTTGGCCAAATTTTGCATTTTCTCAAGTTCATCCTTGTTTTTTTAATCCTTCTGGAAAGAGTATATTTAAGAGCCTCAACTGTTTTCATAGAAATGATAGTTTGTTCTTTTTCCAGCGGTAACCTGTCCTCCACCACCTTTGCCTAAGTTTGCAACACTGAGTGTTTATAAGCCGTCAGCTGGAAACAACTCTCTTTATCGGGACACAGCAGTTTTTGAATGTTTGCCACTCTATGTGATGTTTGGAAATGACACAGTTACCTGCACATCACATGGAAATTGGACTGAACTACCAGAATGCAGGGGTAAGTGCGATAAGACAAAATAATTACAGTAGTGTAGAATCCCATTTTTGAAAAGTATTGAACATTCCACCCATTGTGAGTATTTCCAATTACCTCATTCAACAATCACTTATTGAGCATCCCCCATGTGCCAGGCAGTGTGTTCGGCATTGGGGGTGCTGGATGAATGAGGCTGGCTTCTGACTCAAGGGAATGATACATAATGCAGTGAACTGTCCAGAGCTGCCTGGGAAGGCTTCCCGAGGCAGTACCCCTTGGAATGGGTCTTGGAGGAATTGAGAACGAGGAGCAGGTGTGCCACATAGGTACAGCACGTGCAAAGCCAGGGAGGCACAGAAGGATTGGCATCCATGGACAGCAGAGTATTGCAGTGACGGTGGTGAAGAGAAACCTGGATTAAACTGGGGAGTCTTTGGCTGGGCGCGGTGACTCATGCCTATAATTTCAGCACTTTGGGAGGCCGAGGTGAGAGGATTGCCTGAGCCCATGAGATTGAGACCAGCCTGGGCAACTCGGCAAGACCTCATTTCTACAATAAATCAAAAAATTAGCTGGACATGGTGGCATGTGCCTGTAGTTCCAGCTACTCGGAAGGCTAAGGCTGAAAGATCACCTGAGCCCAGTAGGTTGAGGCAGTGAGCATGCCACTGCCCTCCAGCCTGGGCGACAGAGTGAGACTCCAACTCAAAAAAATAAAAAATAAATAAATAAACGGGGAGTCCTAGGAGACGAGGGTGAAACTGGGCTGTAGCTCAATTGTTACAGGATTTTACAATCTTTACCTTAATTTAAGAATCACAGAAATTATGAAAATTCTCCCTCTGTCATTACAATCTTTAAAGTTGTCAGCTGCATAACAAGTAGACAAATGATAGTTTGTCATGTGCACAGGGTTATTCTAAGGGCAATTCATTTCTCTAATGGTAGATAATACAGGTAACGACAAGAGTAACTGGTACCTTTTTGGGCATTCAACTATGGGCCAGGGGCTGATCTCCTGCTACAGACATTTAATCTGACTTAACTCCCCCAAGTCCCAAGCAGTAGGTTCTTTTGTTTTTCAACTTTTCACCTGAATGTATACGCTGTTAGTATGTTGTGACATTTTTTCTCTCCATTTCTCCATAGACAGATCATTTTTTTTCCTGAATCATCTGAAAATAAGTTGCATATGTCATGACACTCACAAGTACATCGGCATGACTGTACTAACCACAAAGACGTTCCATATTATCATCGCCTCCAAGCCATTTAATGTTTTACGTTATTAACAATAATAACCTAAATTATGATAGCATAAGCAATTAATGCATAATATTATGCAACATTTATTTCAAATGCAAGTTTTTCCAATTGACCCAGAAGTATCCTTTTTTTTTTTTGAGTCAGAGTCTCACCGACTCATGCTCACAGCCATTGCAACCTCTACCTGCTGGGTTCAGGTTTCCAAGTAGCTGGACCTACAGGCATGTGTCACCACACCTGGCTAGTTTTTCTTGATTTTATTGTAGAGATGAGGTTTTGCCAAGTTGCCCAGTCTGGTCTCGAATCCCAGGGCTGAGACAATCCTCTTGCTTCTACCTCCCAAAGTGCTGGGATTACAAGCGTGAGCTGCTGTGCCTGGCTCAGAAGTATCCTTTATACATGTGTTTTGTCTTATGCAGGATCTAATCTAGAATGACATCTTTTATTTAGTTGTCATGTCTTTTTAGTCATCTTTAATTAAGAGTAATCCCATTCTTTTTTGTTGTGTTTCGTTGACATTTTTGAAAAGTATATGCTGGTTGTCTTGTAGAATGTTCCATAATCTGAACTTGGTTTGTTATTTACTCACAATTAGATTCAAATTGAATGGTCTTGCTTAGAATACATTCTGCCACATCAGGAGGCCTGTAGTGTCAGCTGGATCCATCATTGGTCATGCTTAGTTTGATCCCTTGGTCAGGTGGGGTGTGCTAAATCACCTCCTGGTAAGGTGTCTCTTTTTCATTGGCGTTAGTAAGCAGGCTGTGGGTGATACTTTGAAGCCATATGAATGTCCATGCTCAGCAGCCAATGTAGAATCCACTGATGATCCTCAATGCCATCAGTTATGACATTGGTGGCTGCAAAATGGTGACTTTCAATTCCATCTTTCATTCTATATTTATTCGCTGACTTTCCTCTGTAGAGAAGGACTTTCCCTCCACCCACAATGTTTTGGTATTATCCTGGACTCCTGGGTTCTTCTTTATTCAATGTGTGGCAGAGCCAAAATCGAGCCAAGCAGTCTGCCTCTGGGGTTTGTAGGCTTAATGACTTCCCTGGACGACCTCCCAAGGACATTGTGCTCCTGACTCTAGCCATCCCTCCTTGTGCTGTAGCAGGTAAAGATGCGGGTTGGAGCTTCACCATTGAGGATCACAAGGCGACCAGCCAGCAGCACCATTTTTCTCTGAGATACCTCATGCTGGCTTCTTATATACTCTGACAACAACAATTGCAATTAGGTTTACTATTTTAAAGTCAAATAACAGTATGCTAAGTGTGCATGGGGTGGTGCAGTCTTTGTGATTTAATTTCATGGTGTGTTGACTGAAAGAAATACACTTTATTTCCTTTCTTTCAAATTCACCATCATAGACCAGGCAGAGTGACTCATGCCTGTAATCCCTGCACCAAAGAAGGCTGAGACTGGGAAGGATTGCTTGAGCCAAGGTGTTTGACACCAGCCTGGGACACATAGTGAGACCTAAAGGCTACAAAAAAATAAAAATAGAAACTGTGAACATTGTGATTGCAAATTGTTAGTTATTTGTCTTTTCTCTTTTTTTCTCTGTCTTTTAATTTTTATTTAAAATTGTGGTGTACAATTCAGGGCTAGGTATACAAATATTCACTGTGCAGTTACCCTTATCGATGAGGTATGTCCCCGCCTCCTCAGGCAGATATCCACTACTGTCAATCTCAACTCCTCACCCCCCAGGTGTAAGCCACTGCATCCAGCTTTCTATCGAGTTCCTTTTCCTACATAGTTTTGTCTCTGAGCAGCATGGACCTATTCGTAGTTGCCTTAAGAAAAATAAATTTTCTTTTGCAAAATAAAAAATAAAAATACATTGGTTGGGCATGGTGGCACATGCTTGTAGTCCCAGCTACTTCGGAAGCTGAGGGAGAGGACTGCCTGGACTCAGGAGGTTGAGGCTGCGGTGAGCTGTGATCATGCCATCGCACTCCAGCCTGGGTGACAGAGTAAGACCCCCAACTCAAAAAAACAAGAAAACAAAAAAAGGAAATCTCCATTTTAGACTGTGTGGAGATAAATAACGCCTTAATGGTTATAAATGAGAGCCCGAATAACTTAGTAGATGACCATTAATTTACTTTCAAAGTGCTGTTTTTTCCTTAATATCCATGATCCCATGAGTATAAGGGAAGGGTGACAGAATTAAGCACAAGGTACCTGGAGATGGCATTCGAGTCACAGAATACCTAGTGATTTAATGATGTGATGCTGACAAGAGTGTAACCATTCTTTAACTATCAGACAGCGCTACTATTTGTTACTAATTTGTCTTACTGAATGAAATTTTTAGAAGTAAAATGCCCATTTCCATCAAGACCAGACAATGGATTTGTGAACTATCCGGCAAAACAAGCACTTTATTACAAGGATAAAGCCACGTACGGTTGCCATGATGCCTACACCTTGGATGGCCCAGAAGAGGTCGAATGCACCAAACTGGGTAACTGGTCTGCCACACCAAGTTGTAAAGGTATGGAAATACCGTCAAGGTCCTGCAAAGTTTCTCAGTTTACCCAGCGGGGGACTTCTACTTGCCACTTTCTTGTTCTAATCACTTCCCACTTGTTGTTCAGACGTGCTTCACAACGATGGGCACGTGAAAGACTTTAGAACTCATGTGTGCATGGGGGAGTCTCATGCTTAGGAAGCTTGCTTGATATAAACTGTATGCATGGATAATATGGTGGAAGATCACGTGGGCTTCTCACATCTCCTAAGTCTTTACCTAAGAGCCTCATATTTGTGCTCTGTCTAGCCAAGGTCCTTCTCATTGCAAAAACCGACTGCACATTCAAGCTCATTCAAGGAAATGGGGGATCATTATGAAAAGGCAACAGGCAGTCACGTGGGCACTGAAGACGAGGACATGAAATGCAGCTGGCTCTCCTGAGAACAGAACTAAGAGTCAGGAACTAGGGTTGCTCTTTCCATGCCCTAATGGGGTCTCCTGTTTCTGTGTCTCTCTGCTTCCTCCTCTTGAACATGGTTTGATCTACACTAGGACCTCTCAGCTAAAGGATTCAAATCACCAATGGCATCTTTGGGCAAAGAATTGCAAGCTACCATTATGGCTCTGCTCAGGTTGCTCTGGGCTGGATGGTTTGAGCAGAAAGAGGAAATTTGGCACAGTGGGCACCATGACAAGTAAGCATTTTAGGAGGGGGTCCCTTAGAAGCAGGACCTGAGACAGAGATTCGGGTGCAGAGGATGTATTCAGTGAGTGTCTCGGAGGAGAGACTGAGGCGGTTGGATAGGTCAGAGTGCTGATCCTCAAAGTCCACCGTGCATCAGCATCACCTGGAGGGCTGGTCTCCACACAAAACTTTTGGGCCCTCTCGGAGTTTCTGGTTCGGTAGAACTGGGACGGGACTGACGATCTCTATCAAGTTCCCAGGTGATGCTAATGCTGCTGATCCAGGGACTGTATTTTGAACAAGGGTGTGATCTCAGTGAGAGTGCAGCATCAGTTTGGTCCCACTGGGAGCTCTGAAGCATGAGTTTTACCCTGCACTGAATCCCACCAAGAGACAAGAGGACCTGCTCTTAAAGATCCCCTTGTAAGTCAGTCACTGGCTATGAACTGTTCCCTTCCCTGATGCCAAGATGGCATGGGGTTAGTTTGCATAATCTCCTGGGAGAGGTGGCTCTTCTGTGGCTGAAGACAATTTTTCAGAGAAAGGAGCATCTGTGAGCTGTTAGGTGACACTCACACTGGCTGCTGATGGATGCACTTGCTTAATAATGGGGAGCTGGGTGGGCAGTGCAAGCTTACATGAAATGGCAACATCTGGCAAAAGTTTTTTTTTTTTTTTTTTATGAGCTAGAGTCTCACTCTGTCGCCCAGGCTGGAGTGCAATGGCACTCTCACGGTCACCCCAGCATCCATCTGCCGGGCTCTGGTGATCCTTCCTCCTCAGCCCCAAGTAGCTGGAACTACAGGCATGCACTACCATGCCTGGATAATTTTTTTTATTTACTGTGGAGATGAGGTCTCGCCAAGTTGCCCAGGCTGGTTTCGAACCCTCAGGCTCAGGTAGTCCACTCATCTCGGCCTCTCAAAGTGCTGGTATTACAGGCCAGAAGTTCTTTTTCACTGAAGCTGGGGAACTGATGCTGCTGTTCTGAACTCCTGATATGGATACCGTTAGGGAAGAAAAGACCATCTTGGAAGTCTGGAGTCCCAGCTACTTGGGAGGCTGAGGCGGGAGGGTCTCCTGAGCATAGAAGGTCGAGGCTGTGGTGAGCTGTGATCGTGTCACCGCAACCAGCATGGATGACAGAGTGGGACAGCAACTCAAAAAAAAGAAAAAGAAAAAAGGGCCAGGCGTGGTAGTTCAAGCCTCTCATTCCAGCACCTTGGGAGGTGGAGGGAGGTGAGAGGATTGCCTGAGCCCAGGGGCTCAAGGCCAGCCTGAGCAACATGGCAAGACCTCGTCTCTACAACAAATAAAAAAATTAGTCGGTCATGGGGGCACAAGTCTGTGGTTCCAGCTACTTGGAAGACTGAGGTGGATCACCTGAGCTCAGAAGGTCGCGAATGGGAGACAGAGTGAGATTCCTACTCAAAAAAAGAAAAAAAAAAAGAAAAAAGAAAAAACAATTACCATCTTAGACTGTGTGGAGATGAAATTCGCAATCAATAGCACCATATGGTTCTACTGCAGAGAACTGCTATTAGCAATCATATCAGCATTACTTACTAGTACACTCTTGGAAACATAGGTGTGCTCATCCACTGCTTCAAAAGCTACGCTCTTTAAGAGAGATTTACTGAATTCTTAAGTCTTGACTATATATGTTCTCTCTTTCAGCATCTTGTAAAGTTTCTGTTAAAAAAGCCACTGTAATATACCAAGGAGAGCGAGTCAAGATTCAGGAAAAATTTAAGAATGGAATGCTGCATGGTGATAAAGTTTCTTTCTTCTGCAAAAACAAGGAAAAGAAATGTAGCTATACAGAGGATGCGCAGTGCATAGATGGCACCCTTGAAGTCCCCACATGCTTCAAGGGTAAGTTGACTGTGGAGTGTTTAGATAGGACACCTGTCTGCTGCTCTCCACAATCAGAATGTTTGCTATATGATGACTGTCAGAAACTATCAGTTTGGCCACTGGAGTTTTCAAAATGGATGTGGCAGGGAGAAACCACCAGATGGAGCAGTGAACTGCTGACGGTGTCTCCACTTTCATGTTTCTTTCCAACTCTTTCCTTAAAACTCGGGGTTGTGGGTTCATTCAATGAAGGTTGAGGTGAATTATGTCGTCTTGAATAATTCCAAGTGAAGTTTGAAAAATAATGCGGACCCAAACATTGAGTAATAAAAATACCACCTTTTGGTTCCAAATCATAAAGGACTTACCGCAAATTACAAAGCTGCTCACGGCAATGGTAATTGGTCTATAGATCTTCTAACATTTCCCTCCTCCTTCAGCAATCCCTAGAGTTTGAAAAGTATCCATTCGTGCCAAGTATACATTAGAGCAAAATGCTTTAAGGTAGATGATACTATGTTTGTGTGAGAAAAAGAAGTGTGTGATGGCCAGCATTTGGAGAAAGAAAGACTCTACTAACCGCTCAAGGTTTCAGGTTTAGGGTTTAAATGTCTCTGTTGCTAGGAAGGAAGAGCCAGCTGGAGACTGAAGCTACGGGTGGTTCTGGGTTCAGAAATGCCCCCCAAACACTGACAGCCCCGTATCAGCAGCTGGAGAGGAGAGTCAGCAGAAGGTAGAGCCAAGGAGAGATGGGTCTGAGAAGTGTCCAGCTAGAAGGATAGAAGGGAAAGATAACTGACTAAATATGCCCACCTCAGCCAGACACGGTTGTTCACACCTGTAATCCCAGCACTTTGGAAGGCCAAGGCAGGAGACTCACTTGAGCCCAGGAGTTCAAGACCAGTCTGGGCAACGTAACAAGACCTAATCTCTACAAAATTTTTTTTTTTAAATTAGCAGGCTATGGTGGTATTCACCTGTAGTCCCAGAGGCTAAGGTGAAAGGATTGTCTGAGCTCAGGAAGTCAAGGCTGTGGTGAGCTATGATTGTACCACTGCACTTCAGCCTGGGTGACACAAAGAGGCAAGAAAAACAAACAAACCCATCTCATGGGCTTGGTTTGACTATTAGAAATACTATGCATGTGGCCGGGTGCCGTGGCTCATGCCTATAATCCCAGCACTTTGGGAAGCAGAGGTGAGAGGATTGCCTGAGCCCACGGGTTCGAGACCAGCCTGAGCAACTTGGCAACACCTCATGTCTACCATAAATCAAAAAATTAGCTGGGGATGGTGGCACGTGCTCGTAGTTCCAGCCACTTGGGAGGCTGAGGCGGAAGGATTGCCTGAGTCCAGCAGGTCGAGGCTGTAGTGGCCATGAGTGTGCCACTGCACTCCAGCCTGGGCGACGAGTGAGACTCCAACTCAAAAGAAAGAAAGAAATACGATGCATGACATGGAGTTAGTGCTCACCCGATGACGTCATCATTTTAACTGCAAATAGTTAGAAACGGAGAGAATAAAGTGTTATTGCTTAAGAGATAGCAGAACCCTGGTGAGAAGTTAAGTACAAAAATTGACAAAGCTTAGTATGAACCATTAGGAAAAATATTAGAAGAGAATAATTTTTTAAAAATTCAGCCTGCCTGCAGTGGCTCATACCTGTAATCCCGGCACTTTGGGAGGCAGAGTGGGGCAGTGCGGATCACTTGAGCCCAGGAGTTCAAGAGCAGCCTGGGCAACATAGCAAGACTTCACCTCTACAAAAAAGTCAAGAAATTAGCTGGGCATGGTGGCACATGCCTGTCATCCCAGCTACTCAGGAGGCTGAGGTGTTGGAGGCTGTAGTGAGCTATGATTGTGCCACTGCACTTCAGCCTGGGCAGGAGTAAGACCCCTGACTCAAAAAAAGGGAAAAAAAAATCAGAGCTTTGTTGATGTACTTCTTCAAGCTTTTTTCCCTGAAGGTTTCCAGACAGATGCAGGAGGACTGTTGTTGCATTGGAGAATAGATAAAAGGTGGATGTCACTTTGTTCCTCCCCCTTTTTTTTTGAGTTGGAGTCTCACTCGGTCGCCCAGACTGGAGTGCAGTGGCCGCTCCCGGTCACCACAGCCTTGACCTGCTGGGCTCCAGCGATCCTTCCACCTCCGCCTTCCGAGCAGCCGGAATTACAGGCATGCGCTACCACACCTGGCTGATTTTTTGATTTATTGTAGAGATGAGGTCTCGCTGCCCAGGGGGTCTCGAACCCGCAGGCTCAGGCAAACTTTGTTCCCTTTTAATCTCGACAGTAAGACTTACCTAGAACCTTTTATTTTCTCTCCTAGAAACGAGACTTATCATTGCCCTGATGTTTTCTTAAGCCTCACACTAAGTGGTGTCATTCGTATAATTCAATGTATTCCATACATTTCTAAGATGTGTTTGATTGTTTCTCTTAGGATGTTTCTCTTTTTCCCCCACAGAACACAGTTCTTTGGCTTTCTGGAAAACCGATGCCTGGGATGTGAAGCCATGCTAAAGTGATTTTCAGATTAAAAATTCAGTGTCATTTTGTATCTTGTTTGTTGAAGGAACCTAATGGAAGTGGAAAAATAAAGCTACCAAATGTATTGCTTCCACCATTGTGGCGTTACTCCTCAAGGGCGCTTACTTTTAATTATGCTAACTGGTCAGGCTCAATGGCTTGCACCTATGATCCCAGCACTCAGGAAGGCCGAGGTAAGAGGATTGCCTGAGCCCATGGGTTTGAGACCAGCCTGGGCAACTTGGCAAGACCTCATCTCCACAATAAATTAAAAACAAAATTTAGCCAGCCATGGTGGCACATACCTGTAGTTCCAGCTACCTGGAGGGCTAGGTATCACCTGAGTCTTCAGCCTTGCGGAAGGATCACCTGAGCCCAGCAGGTCAAGGCTGTGGTGGCCATGGGCATGCTACTGCACTCCAGCCTGGGTGATGGAGTGAGACTCCAACTCAAAAAAAAAAACAACATGTTACTTGGGTTAAAAAGTGCGGATATTTGAACCATCATCATTTCATGGCTGTGAGATTAAAAGTGTAAACTACTAGGTGGGTAACTCAGCTCCCCTCTGCCTAATACTACCCTCAAGCACTCTCACCTGAAACACCTGCAGTACAGTATTTTTCATAGAATGGTCTACAGACTCTCACGTCAGTATTACCTGTTTATTTATTATAAAGAAAAAAATACTGGGTCTCAGAATGGCCCAGAATGGCCCAGGAATCTGCATGTATGACAAAGTTCCCATATCGATCCCGTGCATCCTCAAGTTTGAGAAACATCATCGCCATCCTGGCCGGGTGCGGTGGCTCACGCCTATAATCCCAGCACTTTGGGAGGACAAGGTGAGAGGATTGCCTGAGCCCACGGGTTTGAGACCATCCTGGGCAACTTGGCAAGACCTCATCTCTACAATAAATTTTTTAAAAAATTAGCTGGGTGTGGTGGCGTGTGCCTGTAGTTCCAGCTACTTGGATACTTGGAAGGCCGAGGCAGAAGGATCACCTAAGCCCAGCAGGTTGAGGCTGTGGTGGCCATGAGTTGCTACTGCACTGCAGCCTGGGTGACAAAGTGAGACTCCGCCTCAAAAAAGAAAGAAAGAAAGAAACAAACAAACAAAAAAGCATCGCCACCCAGAAATAAACATGAACTCCCAGGTCAGCAGAACTGGATCTGCATCCTTGATGTTAGGCTGACATGAGGCCCAAAGCCTTTCCAACCCACCAAGATCACAGGGTCTATCGCATTGCTCCTTTGCATCTCTTCAACTCCCTCCCTTGCCCCTTGCTCCTTTGGTAGAACTTGCTGGCCACACTCACCCCAGGCCTTCCCCATGCCTGCCCCTAAGTAACTGAATGTTGTGGGATGAAACCAAAAAACTCATCTCCATGCCAGAAAGTCACACTTGAAAATCATCAACACATGCTTTATACAGGCCCTGGCTCAGCCCAGCCATGCCATCCTATTTCTCTGGTTTGTTCATTCCCTTGCTCTCCAAAGCGGCTGTTTCTCTTCTCAGTCTTCCCCAAGCCACCTTCCTTCTCTTCACTCTCAGCTGATAACCTTTCTCCATATTTCACTGAGAAATTAGGAACGATCCTTCTTTATCTTTGCACTCCCATATCCAGCAGTCTACCAGTGTCTGTGCCATGGACTCGGCCTTCTACTGGGTTACGACGGTTGGACTCTAGGATTCCAGCCAAGAAGAAGCCCTCCCCTTCCGCAGTGGGTTCTATCTTCTCTCTGCTACTTAAGGACTTTGCTCCTCCAATTTGTGTTCATCTATTTTAATTTTTTTCCCATTTTATTGGCACATTTCTGTCAGCATACAAGTATATAGTAATATCACCCATTTTTAAAACTCTCTTGCTACAGTACCTCTTTCTCCAGCTACTAACCCAATCTTTTTAGACCTAGAGTTATTTGCCTTGGTCGTCTGTGCTATGTGCTACCCTTCACTACTCTGCAAATCTGTGTTCTTCATAGATATGTCCTCACCAGTGTGTCTTTCTCAGGACTGGACCCAATTCCATGTGGTGGGGCTGGATCTCTTCTCCAAGATACTTTCCACTCCTCCTCCTTTGACAAAATTCAGTGGTTCCTCTCCCTGCTACTGTCATTCAAAATCTCCCAATTCCCAATTCCCTTTATTTACTTAAAAAACATTTTACCAGCCAGGCTCGGTGGCTCAGCCTGTAATCCTGTGCCTTTGGGAGGCTGAGGTGAGTAGATTGCCTGAGCCCGTAGGTTCGAGACCCGCCTGGGCAGGCGAGACCTCCTCTTTACAATAAATCAAAAAATTAGCCGGGCGTGGTAGCCCACGCCTATAATTCCGGCTACTCGGAAGGCTGAGGCGAAAGGATCGCTGGAGCCCAGCAGGTTGAGGC